TAGATATTTTCATGAATATTTTAATTCAAATAAAACGAATAAAATAAAATACGTATTTTTTTAGCCTGTATATATCTACAACATAATGATCTTTAGTATCTTCTTTTCATTGCTCAATGAGTTTTACAATATATTCCGTATCCAATAGAAAAATATAACTTTTAAGAATTACTGAAAAACAAGTTATCCTATTTAACAGGAAATGTTTTTAAATTTATCGAGGAAATGTATATTAATAAGCAGGTTATCTCCTATTAAATATTAAATATTATTAAATATATACAATAAATAATTTTGTTCCATTTTGTTTTTAATGTCTCGCTGTAGAGTGAAAATGATATACCTCTATTACATTCCAGAAAGAATTACTTGTTTCGTTCTGGTAGTTAGATACTGATATTGGAGTGGCATTGAATAATAATTTCTGACATACCGCATGTTCACGCTTATATTCAATATTGACAAAACAATATTTGCCATTGATTTCACGAGTATTAGTGTTTTCTTGTACGGTAGTAACTTGCAGATTGTAACATTCATCAAAGTTTCCCAAGTGTCTTGTGTGACCATAAAATATACCTTCCGGATACTTCGTAGAAGAATCAAACACTAAAATAAATATTTTAATATTTAATATATACAATATCATTATACATAGAATGTCCTATTTTAATTAATATAGTTGAATATTTCGGGAATTAAGAAAAATACGATGCTTTTATTTGTATAAAGTTACTTTGCGTAGCCCAAGTAGAACCGTTGAGTAAATCATATAACAATCTCTGCGTATCTTCCTTGCAACGTCCATCCGGCAAATATTCCGACTTTGCGAAAATAATAGGTAAAAACGGCATATTTTCTAATATCCATTGTTTCGATATGAAGTAATTTTGTTTGGCCGAAACATGAAAATATGTTACTTTCAATAACAAAAGCACTACATAGTAAAACAATCTTTGTGCATTCATCATTATAGCAATAATTATAACTGAGTTAGAAAAATAATTTTGTTAATATTAAACTCTATAAGCTGAGATAAGGTAAGAATAATTCGGACCAAAACTCCCAAATCATGTGAAATGCACGCATACTTGACCTCTACTATATGTACAGCTTATTTGTGTAACCAGTTGAAGTCACTGAAATATGTACTAATATATTATTATATACTAATATACTATTATACTAATATATATTACCTGGAACTTACCTAAACTTTATCATACAATTGATCTGTTCTTTATGGCTGAACTGGTTGCACTAGTTTGCACTAACACTCTTTCTTTTTTTTTACACCGTCACAGTTATATACCTATGTATATGATAATAAGTTGTAAACAAATAATAATTTTTATAGATGATAAAATTTCTCTTTTATAATAATATACCGAAAATAGGATTTATAAATTTTATGCTACAAAATAATCAGGTTATGAAAAATAGTAATTTTCTAAGGTACACGAAATCTATGTCATATAATAATTATATTCTCTGTTTACTGAGAGGGATTTACAAAAATATTACGTCTACGTCGTTTGAATTCTTTCAGACTAAATTCTTGCAGTTAAGCATTGCAACTGATTAACGTGACAAGAATTTCTTATATTTGTCTTCCCTCTATCTCCTTTTTTACTCCCTCTTCACGCAGCAATCCAATAAACATCAACCTAGTAGCAGATTAGTTTGTCAGAACTACCTGCTGATAAGCTCTAATAACAGACATAACAGACTTACATGCACGCAGAGTTTGTTGACATATAGGGTGTCCCGCGTAAGACGTACGAAAAGAAAAATATAAGTAGAATACATAAAAGTGAACAAAAATTGTATAGGTCATTTTTCAAGCAACCACGTAAAATTTCGAGATATTAATTAAAATAGTTGGGCATATCAAAACGCGGCGACACGGCAGGCGGGACATAGGGCTCGTCGCGGCCGGCGAAAAAAATGGACGATTGTTCGCGGGTCTATTTTATAGAGGTGGACCGTTTGGCATATTGAAATGAGTAGCTCCGTGTGGGCGTTTGTGTACGTGTGCATTCTTCCATTTTCTTTCTAAATATTTAGAAGATTATTTTATAAGATAGCTCACATTAAAACTGTAACGTGTTCCTGTGATTTAAAAAAAATAGAAAGAAAGAAAGCGATCGAAACTGAAAGGATTTGCAGAGAATCTGTTTTCTATCGAAATAGTTTCTCTATCGTATCCTTTGCATGTATTCGCAAGAAGTGAAATCGTTTTCTATCGTACTCTTTAG